TTCCAGGTAAGGACTCAGACAGAGGCTTTCAGTTTGAGGAAACAGGAACACTCCCTCTTTGGCTGAGGATTTCCTAGAGGTAAGACGTGGCTGGCTTGCTCTCTGATCTCTCAGTTTTCACCCAATATCTGGCTTTTTTTTTTTTAATTAATAAGACCTTTTAAAATTTGTGTTACATTTTCCCTTTCAAATTTTCAAGTTAAAATTACCACTTGCTAAGCCCTGGGTTCGGTCCTCAGTTCCGGGGGTGGGGGGAGTGGGGGTGGGTGGGCGATTACCGGTTTATAGAAAACTGCAGTACAGGTCTGGATCTGGGGCTGTATAATTCATTGTTGAGTATTTTCCTAGCATGTTACGAGTCCTTGAGTTTGAGTATTAGCACCACAAAAGAAGGGCAAAAGGGAGAGAAAAATAGGAATTGCATATGCTGATCTTAAATTAACAGTCATTTCTAGAGAAGCTGAATATAGTTTGTAAGAATGATTGAACCAGTTTTGTGATGCCTCATACCTGCAACTCTAGCATTTATCTCAGCAAAAACCAAAATGATCACAAACAGGTACATTTTTTTCCTCCCTTTAAATTGAATAATTTTGTTAAGCCTAATGTTATACAAATGTCTGTTCATTACAGTTTACACATTACAAAGTGCAGTTTTTACAAAGACTTACATATAGTAATTGTGTAAGTAGAACATCAGCTGAATTTTATAGTCTTCACTACATAAAACCAGTTTGACTAATTTAAAGCATTTTATTACAGATTAGTTGGGATTTTGTTGGAAAGGAATAATGGTCCAGTTATTATTAACTGAATTACAGTGTCATTGAAAAAAAAAAAACTCCGGCAAATACAGTATTTAATTTGAAGGTCATGCCTAAAACCTTACATAGTATGTGCCAGATGTATGCTATACGTAGACTTACTGTTTTTTTTTTTTTTTTTTTTTTTCTGTGTGTCTTGACAGGAAATGCACAATTTTGAGGACGAGTTAACGTGTCCTATTTGTTACAGTATTTTTGAAGATCCTCGAGTACTACCATGCTCTCATACATTTTGTAGAAATTGTCTGGAAAATGTTCTCCAGGCATCTGGTAACTTTTATATATGGAGACCTTTGCGAATTCCACTCAAGTGTCCTAATTGCAGAAGTATCATTGAAATTGCTTCCACTGGTATAGAATCCTTACCTGTCAATTTTGCATTAAGAGCAATTATTGAAAAGTACCAGCAAGAAGACCACCCAGATGTTGTCACCTGCCCTGAACATTACAGGCAACCATTAAATGTTTATTGTCTACTAGATAAAAAATTAGTTTGTGGCCATTGTCTTACTATCGGCCAACATCACGGTCACCCTATAGATGACCTTCAAAGTGCCTATCTGAAAGAAAAGGATACACCTCAGAAGTTGTTTAAACAGTTAACTGACACACACTGGACAGATATCACTCGTCTTATTGAAAAGCTTGAAGAACAGAAATGCCATTCTGAGAAAATGGTTCAAAGTGATAAGGAAGTTGTTATTCAGTATTTTAAGGAGCTTACTGATACATTGGAACAGAAAAAAAAATATTTTTTGGCAGCTCTCTGTGATGTTGGCAAGCTGGTTAGTCAAGAATACACTCCACAGATCGAAAGGGTGAAGGAGATAAGAGAGCAACAACTTGAGCTAATGACAGTGACGACATCTTTACAAGATGAATCTCCACTGAAGTTCCTAGAAAATATTGATGATGTCCACCAGCGTGTGCAGATGTTGAAACGAAGACCACTTCCTGAGGTGCAGCCTATTGAAATTTACCCTCGAGTAAGCCAAGTACTAAAAGAGTGGAGCAGAAAAGAAATTAGACATATTAAGAAAGCTATCATTCCTGAAATGAGAATTTCATCAAAAAGGATGTCATGTTCCTGGCCTGACAAGGATGAAAAAGAAATGGAATTTTTTAAAATTTTAAATATTGTTATAGTGTCACTAATTTCAGTGATATTAATGTTGATACTCTTTTTCAGCCAACACATAATCACCTTCTTAAAAGAAATCACTTCAACATGTTTCTCTGAAGTCTCTTTGTCTCTTTACCAAAGTTTATCTAATAACTTATATGACTTAAAAAATACGGTATGCTACACTCTATATTTGTTAAAGGAATTCATGTGGAAAATAGTTTTTCGTTGAAAACCCAAATTAGCAGTTCTAAGTGGGCTTATTCTGTATAGCAGAGGCTAACCATTGCTAGATGGAAGTCAGGGTAGCAAAAGTAGCAAATTTATATAGAAATATCATAAGCCTTCCATGGTCGGGTAGAAAGGATCAGAAATGGTACATTATCTGAAAGATGACTCATCCACTTAGAAAATTATAATTTTTGATATGAATAGTTTATTTGCTTGATAGTGTTTTAAATATTCTCTTTAACACATTTTTTTGTTATATGTTGCAGTAGTTAGCATTGCAGTTCTTTGTATATGTAGGTATTAGATTAAACAAAATGACAAGCATTTTGACATGATTTAAAGCTTTTCAATGTATAGATGGAGGTGGTAAAAGTTATAAAAAAAAAAAATCAGGCCAGGATTGCTTAAACATCTTTTTGGTTAAACATTAACTATTAATAGATGGAAGAGCATTCATTCCAACTAGAGCCAATGCTTTTGGATAAATCAGGTGTCTAGTACTTATTTTACATAAACTGATTGCATTAGGAGCTAGCTGAGTTTAATGGCTGGAGAATCTCTAAGTCAGGGTCAGCCTGGATATCATATTAAGATCTCCAAAACCAACCAAACAAAAAGGTTTAGTGGCAGAGCCCCTGCATTTTCTACTGGCTCTAACACCACAAAGCAAAACAAGTATATATTTTGCTTTTGTAGTGTTTTAGTCTTGTTCTTAGATTTAAAACTATATGAAACATTTACATTAGGACAATCATGTTGACATTCATTTAATAGATCTGGTATCATGTAAGCTATATTTGTCTTAAAATGGTCTCACTCTGTAGCCCTAAAGTGCTGGGAATTATAAGTATGAGCTGCCATAACTGGCTAGTCTTAAAAGAGCTCATTAAGTCAGAACCTTTAATTCCCTTAACAGGGACTACTAGAATATTGGCAGTACAACTTTGGTTCACTGCCATTGAAATATTTTACAGAAACCCCAAACGGGCTAGTCTTGAATCACCACCTGTGGACCTTATTTCAGAGGTCAGAATAAGAATGCTTTTAGCCCTATTGATTCATTATAAAGCTGTGTTCAAAAGTCAAGGTTAAAACAATGCTGAGAAGATTAAGTCATTAGGTCTACTTAACAGAATCAGATTTGATCCAGCATAATTTCAATATCCTGAGGCCATTTGGAAGAGGTAATGGAGGGGAGGAATATAACTAACAATGTTCAGTTAACAGACACATGTCACATGTGAGTGCTCTTTTTAAATGTTAGCAAGCAGACATTTTTCACGGGGTTACTAACTGTATAAATGAGAAACCCAAGTAATGCAGTGCCATGTTAGCAGGTAGAACACATTCTCAATATGCTTAAAAAAAATGGAGCAGGCTAAGATTGTTTATTAACTGAAACTTACATTTCAATCTAAGCAAGCATATGCCTAGCGTTACCTTATACTGGACCATTTTTAGTACACAACCCTTTGTTTTTTAGTAAGAGTTACTATATACTTACTATATTTTTCCCAGGCGGTTGAGATCATACAATTTAAAGCACACACATTTGGAAATTCTGGGTTTTATGTGTAACAATATATTTGAATAAACTTGGTATTTTAGTGAATGGCTTAGGAAGTGGTGTCTTTGAATTTCCATACGGCTTCTGAATATTCTTTACCGAAAAGTTAAAATATAATTCGTTCATTTCCATACTTGTTGTGTGCTGCTAATTTGTAGTGGCTTTATTATGAATCATGGTCCATGGTAGGAGGCATTTAATTAATTCCTTTAGGGTAAGCACCTAGAAATTTAATAAGACAAATACTTTGTTGTTTGAGATAGGAACTCACCAGGTAGACCAGGCAGGCCTCTGACTGTTGGGATTAAAAGGCATACACCACCACACCTGGCAATGGCAGACTTTAAATTCAAATTCCTTCTGAAATGCCACTTTATTTCTACTAGCACAGCCTTCTTTAGACAATACAGTTGAGTATAGTGGGGGCATTCTGACCTACAAGATGTACACATGCAAACATCGCTTTTACATTTCTGTGTCCCATGTCATCCCACGACACTGCCACAAATCCCCAGTTCTCACTGAACTCAGTTTATGGATTATGCTACATAGGTAGTCCATGGTCCTCAGGCATGGTCTGGCCTGCCTCCATGACCCTTGGATTACAGATCTAAAAGAGATAGTGGAATACCGGGAATGCCCATTATGGCTGAACAGAATCAAGGTGAGATGAGATGGGTCACATTGAGCACTGCCAACCAAACACCCTCATTGGCCCTGCCCTTCACAGGAATGCTGATCTGGTCCCCACCACATGCATGGGAAAGCTGGCCCTGTTGACATGGGCCTAGGGGAGCTTGCTCTGCCTCTCAGGGGGCTCAGTAACCCAGGCCTATGGGTTATTACCTAGACCCACATCTGCCCTATATTTGACATGCTGGAGTGTGTGAAGTGACTGGTCCCTCTGAAGGATAATAGCAGGATGTCCAAGAGGAGTCGGAGAGGGTCCAGTGATGATGGTGTTCCAGAAGCCTTAGAACAGACCAATGACTCATTGCAATGAACATTTTACAGCAGGGGCTGACTGGACAAAAGGGCATGATACAACACAGCTCCTGATACCACAAGGTTGAATGAAGAGGTGTTGGAATGATGGAGTATTATGGTTATTTTTGTTTTTAATTATTTGGGAGTTATGCTGAAGGGTAAGAGGCAGATATGGAAAGACTGGGAGATGAGCGGGATTGAATTTGCATGTGAAATTCCCAAGGATTCAGGAAAGAATAATGTTTAAAAAAAAAAAATCAAAACCAAACCAGCTAGACTCATTTTTATGATACAGAACTGAATACAATTTTTTAGACATCACTAATAAAACAGAAACCACTTGTCATCACACAACTTAGAGGAAAACGTACTTTTTACAATTCTTTACAGACAGAAACCTAGAAATACTAAATCTAGGTAAATGTGAAGAATCTTCAATATATACAAGTTCAGCCAAGTCCTTTAGATGCAATTTCTTTTGGGTTCACAGCAACACTTTTTGTAATATTGTATGTTTTATAAATTCCAATAAGTCTATCGGAAATTTCAAACATATTATTCCGAAGAGAAATTATTATGAACTGGGCATTTTTTGTTTGTTCCTAAAAAGAAAAAGAACAGTTAAGTCAGACAGCGAATAGGCAAACATTACCCCAAAGTTTGTGGGCAATAATTCTGACAGATGATTAACATATGTTTGCACTGATCAAGGACAATTCATAAAAGTGTTGAGGTTGAGAGGAATTTGGGTAAAGTGAAAATCCCAACAGCAAGAAAAAAACACAAAATTTCTAAAGATTTACTCACATATATGTAAAATGCAACAATGGACACATTTTTAAAATCCAGGGCTGCATCGATCTCATCCATGAAGTAGAGGGGAGTGGGTTTGTAATGGTGAAGAGCAAACACTAAGGCCAATGAACTAAGGGTTTTCTCTCCTCCTGAAAGGTTAAAGATCTTCTTCCAACTCTTCTTAGGTGGTCGAACACTGAAATAATTAAGAAATGTTACTCAAATGCCTTGTAAGGCTAAAAATTCAAAAGTGTTCTAAATCTGTGTCTTTTCACAGTGTAATTAATGACCTTTTGTTTTTTCTTAAAACTTGCGATCCTCCTGCCTAAACCAGATGAGTGCTGGGATTACCTGTACACACCCCCATGGCCTGGCTATTGACCTTTTATTAATCTAGTTAGTTTACAGAAATGTTATTGGAAGATGAACATGTTAGGAACAACTACCAGAATTTTATTTTTTAGATTTTGGAGACAGGGTTCTTTGGAGACCGGGTTTATGCCTGCTTCTGGCTCCTGAGTGCTGGGGGATTAAAGGCATGTGCCACCGCTGTCTGGTCATCTACCAGAATTTTTTTCTTTTTTAAGATTTATTTATTATGTATACAGTGTTCTGTCTGCATGTATGCCTGCACACAAGAGGGAACCAGATCTCATTTTAGATGGTTGTGAGCCACCATGTGGTTGCTGGGAATTGAACTCAGGACCTCTGGAAGAGCAGCCCCAGGGCTCTTAACTTTTGAGCCATCTCTCCAGCCCCACCTACCAGAATTTTAATATTAAAACAGTAAGCTAGCTATTGCTTATTTTCTCTTAACCAATTTTGTAATAAATTAAAACTATTTTGCTGTTGATGGAGGCCGTACTACCTTGTCTGAAGGTCATTTTACTGTTGCATAAGCCTGGCTTCCTGGCCTGTGAGCTTCGGTTTCTGCTTCCATCTCCCTGCTGTGATATGCCAGGAATATAGATGTTGGCATACTGCATCTAGCTTTGAAGAAAATTTCTTTCTTTCTTTTTTTTTAAAGATTTATTATGTACACAGTGTTCTGTCTGCATATACACCGGCAGGCCAGAAGAGGGCACCAGATCTCATTACCGATGGTTGTGACCTACCATGTGGTTGCTGGGAATTGAACTCAGGACATCTGGAAGAACAGCCAGTGCTCTTAACTTCTGAGCCATCTCTCTAGCCCCCAAAGAAAAATTTCTTAAAAGATAAACTAGACATTGTATAACATAATTTGCATATCATTTATGCTGTAAACTCACAAGGTATATAAGTTGTATTTATCACCAAATAAAACTTGTAGTTCCAACCTTCACATCTCACTCACAAGAAATATTAACAATTTAGAAAATATGTAGGATTCAAATCTTACAAACCTGAACATGATTCCTTCTGAAAAGGGATCCAAACTATCCACAAGCTCTAGTTCAGCATCCCCTCCCAAAGTCAGCATCTGGTAGTTTTCCTTTAATTTATTTGTTATTACATAAAAACCTGCCATAAATTCATTCAGTCTTTGTTTTCGAAGATCTTCATATGCTTGTCTAAAATTATCTCTTTCAGAAGTAATTTTGTCCAACTCTGCTACTCTTTGCAAATATAATTCTTCCTGTGAAGATTGTAAAAAAGAAAGTTTACACACAAATCTGAGAGTTAGCATTGCTCATTATACAAAAATCAAAGAAAGGCCTTAATTTAGACTTAGCAAAATTCCTAATAGAAATAAGTCACTCATACCTTTTTTTTATACTCTGCAATGGCACCAAGATTTGGTTTCATTTCATGACATTGAGTTTCCAAAAGTGCAATCTGATTTGTTATAGAACCTGGATCCTTGATTGCCTCAAGATCCTCTGGGCTTAGAACTGACACTGTCTCAACAGGATTATCTTCTACAGGATGCAATTTTATTTTTGAAATCTAAGGAGAATTGAGACGATGAAAACAGGATGAATTTATTTTTATTTGTATATGGGTGTGTTTGTGTGTGTGTGTGCGCACATGCGAACATGTAATGTTTGTAGATGCCAGAAGAGGGCATCAGATTCTGTGGAGCTCGTGGTTGGTTTAAAGCCATTTGATACAGATTTTGGGTACCAAACCTGGGTCCTTTGCAAAAGCTTCAAGTGCTTGTAACTATTGGGCTATCTCTAGCTCCCAGTTAAAAAACATGAAAAATGACAGCTACAAAAACAATATAGGAATGAACCGTGACTACTTTGCATATAAGTTATAGGCTGAGAAGGTACTTGACCAATTGTAATGATTACTAATTTTATGTATTAAATAATTCTAAATTGTCTATTATATCCTTTATAAACATAAAGTGATTATGGAATTAAGAATCACAATATACCCCCCAAACCAGAAAACACACTCACCCCTACAAAAGGATGGATATATGTGTGTGTGTGTGTGTGTGTGTGTGTGTGTGTGTGTGTGTATATATGTATGTATGTATGTATGTACAAGTGTTTGTCTGCATGTTCGTATATGCACCATGTGTGCCTGGTGTACTTGGAGGACAGGAGAGGGTGTTAGATTTCCCATAATTGGAATGACAGATGGTTGTGATTTGGTACACGGTGCTAGGAATTGAACCCAGGTTCTCTACAAGAGCAGCAAGTGCTCTTAATTACTGGGCTATCTCTCCAGCTCCGAGCAGAAGTTTAAAATTAATTAAATGGGAGTAATCTCACCTCTTTTTGCCAGTATTTTATTTTAGAATTATGTTCAGCAATGTGGCCATCTATTTGCTCAAGTTTCAACTTAACACTAAGTGCATCTTTCTGAAGAGCATGTTCATTTTCTTGAATGACTTTTAGTTCCTGAAGTAGATTACGATGTTCTTTCTGGATTTCTGGTAACGACTCCTAAAAACCAAGAAGAACTGTGACAAATGCCATTTCTACAAGTGAAATAAGTATTTTTACATTACGTAGATATTGTTAGCAATTTCTCTTCATGTCTCACTTTAATAAAAATTTTGATTTGCAGAAAATTTGAATGTACATCAACACTTTAATTGCTTCAAATGTCATTTATCCTGTAAAGCAGAAACAAACCTTACCTCTGCAGCATTTGTATTTTTGATGACTTCTTCTGCTTTGTCTTCAATATTTTTTAATTCTGCTTTTAAATCATTTGTTTCTTTCTCAGTGTCTTTTATTTCTTTCTCTGTGCGGAAGACAGAATCTTGTGCCTTTTTAAGATTTCTAAAGAAGCAAACAACATAATTTATGATATTTAATGTAACTTTAAAATTTGTGAATTACTGAACCAACCATCCTTGGTTTTTAGTTTTATATAAATACTTAAAGACCAAGGTGTATGTTTTATTAAAAATTTCCATAAAGCCTCTTTTCACATAAACTTCTAGTAGACTTTGTTGTAGTTATCTATTAGATTACAAAACTCTTTTAACATCCAACAAGGTTTTTTTCTTTTTTGAGACAGGGTCTCTCTTTGAATTCACAGAAATCTGCCTGACTATGCCTTCTAAGTTTTGAGGTTTCTGGGATTACAGGAGTATGCACCATACCCAGCCCAGTGGGTTGGTTTAATAATAAAAACAAAAACAAGACAGGCAGTCATGGGAGTCTCAGCACTTGGGAGGCAGAGGCAGGCAGATCTCTGTGAACTTGAGGCCAGCCTGGTCTACAGAGCAAGATCCAGAACAGCTAGGGCTACACAGAGAAATCCTGCTTTGAAAAAAACAAAAAACAAAAAAACAAAACAAAACAAACAAACAAGAAACCAAAACCACCCCCCCAAAAACCCAAAAAAACCTCTCTTAAGCCTACTTTCTGCTCTAACAAATGTTTTTCTAGCTTTTTACTTTCAGCCAAATGGATCACATAGTCAATATACAAGTAAAAAAAAAAAAGATCTTAAAAGATTTGATTTAGAGCCTTTTCTTGCCACTTCCTGTTTCTATTAAGACCTGGCTCTGTTACATCCACTTCTCTATGCCAGAGAAACGAGACTAATGTCTATGCCTTGAACATCTGGGTTATGCTGTACAACTCCAACTTTTGTAAGGCACACCTGTTTACCAGTTTGTGTTTCTTCTTAAATTAGAGAAATGATAAATCTTCATCCTAACTTTTTCCTTCTCAAAGTATTGCTGGATAATGGCAGTTAAGTTTAATAACTAGCATCCAATGCAACATTAACTACTCTTTCCACAGTCCGGAAAGGGGTGAGGATGGGCTGGGGAGGTACTCTACCTGTCAGCAGTCTTGATTGCTACCTGGGCCTTAGTAATAGCAGAAGCACATTCATCCAGCTGCTTATTTATCATATCAAGTTTGGTTTGCTGAGCCTTGAGTTTTCGGTTGTTGATTTCTATGATGGTATCGTGCAATCGCTTAACCTCAGCTTCTACTTTACCAGCTTTCTCAGCCACAGCGTCATATTCTGAAATTAAAAAAACGACACAGCTGGATTCATTTTTCTGTTGAGTAACTATCATTTGGTGGATGTATATTTCTTCAATTACTTAATCTGATACATGGTATCAAATCTGAGACATTCGGGTAAAGACCTAGAACACCTTTTAAAAAACATGTTATTTTAACATATGAAGTTAAACTCTGGTTAAGTTGTTGAACCCATTTATTGCTTAGTGGTTTTACTTTCTCATCCTTTCTTAAAGCACTTCACTGAATATCTGATACATGACTTTTGCCCTAAGACTAGCTTTTGTCAGGTCTGAGAAGCTGAGTGTTTTCTTTTGTTTAACTAAACATTACCAAGTGAAGGCCACAAGATGAACTGGCAAGTCTTCCCTGTTCTAAAAGCACATCCCAGGTTTTCTTAGGTCAAATCAACTCAAGTCAGCTGTGCAATGAAGGCATGAATGATGACCTGATCAGCTTTTGCCAGTAAGTCAGTTCCTTAGTATAAGCAGTGACTAATTTTGATGATGTGGATTGCACATGCTTGTTGACAGCTGAAGTGATAACTTTCTCAATCTGAAAGATAGAACTTTAAGTGGTAGCTATGGAAACTATTCTTTAATGCTGAATCTAGGAACTTATATAAACAACCCATTACCCTGTTACATACCTCATCCATTATGACCATATGCACTCGCAGTTAAACATTAGCAATTGCCTTTTTCAAGGGTAAGTTGAACATTTGTTGATGGAATTATGTTGCTTTATCTTACATGATCGTTGTGGTTAAATTTCCATTACGTTGCCTGAATGCTCAAGAGCACTAATACATCTGCCCCACCATCATAGCAATTGGTGAATAAGTAAGGTATGCCGCTGAATCTCTTCCTAGAAGATTTTTATCCTTTTCCTTGTTTTCATGTATCTACCACACATTCTCTGTAATATGTTGTGGGACAATCTTTTTGTACACTGTAAAGATGTGTCTCTGCCTAAGGCGCCTTCTGATTGGTTTAATAAAGAGCTGAAAGGTCAATAGCTAGGAAGGAGAGAATAAGGGGGGGGGGGAGGACTCTGGGAAGAAGAGAGGAGAGGCCAGTGAGACACTGAAGAAGTTAGCCATACAGTACAGAGAAGAGGTAACTGAGCCACTTGGCAGAACATAGATTAATAAAAACAAGTTAATTTAAGTTATAAGAACTACTTGGGAAAAAGCCTAAGCTTTCACAATAAGTCTGTTGTTATTTGTGAGTTGGTGGCCCTAAGGAAAGTCAGACCACAGTTGGCACCCCACCAAATGTAATTTTTCTCTCAGCTTAGCAGCTGCAAATGAATCTACTGATATTTGAATTACCATTTGTGTTCCCAAGGCCCCCCAGTCAGTGCTTGCTGGCCACTTAAGAGTGCAGCCTGTGATCTGTAGTTTAAACTAAGTTTCTATCATTCTATTTACCAACAAAGACTTGGAAGTCTGCCAGATCAGAGAAGTCGAGAAGCAACCAGATGACCTTGCTTTTTGGCCAGAGACCCAGCAAACGATGCATTTCTTCCTTGTCTTGAAAGACTTTGCCAAACTATAGTCCTGCCCTTTCCTCCTTTATGTCTTCTCTGTCCAAATTCCTGGCCTCTCTATGCCTGATTCTAGTCGCCTGGTCGATGGCTCTGCCTCTATTCAAGATTTAACTTTATTGGCAATCTTGGGAGTATCAGTGTAATCAAAATATCCCACAACAGTAATATTAACAGTAACATGTCTATCAGCAATACAAGGGTAACTATAGTGTAGTGATGTATTCCTCTAATACTCCAGACCTGGGGCTGGAGGATTAAGAGTTCAAATGCACCTTGAGCTACATAGTGAGACTTTGTCTCCAACTTATATAAGAAGGGAAAAATTGCATATATTGTCTGTAATTTTAAAGGTTTTATTTAAAAATTTATCTTAAAATTCTATGTCTAGTTTCAATGTTTACTAGTGCCATTGTTAATTTAAAAATGTGGATACGTTCACGAGTTAAAAAGTAAATTACTTGGGGCTGAAGATATGGCTCAGCAGTTAGAAACATTGGCTGCTCTTCCTGAGGTAGGTCCTGAGTTCAATTCCTAGCTCAAAACTGTCTATAACTGTAATCTCATGGGATCGGATGCCCTCTTCTGGTGTGCAGATGTACAAGCAGACAAAACACCTATATACATAAAATATACAAACAAATCTCTTTTTTTCCCTGGGGGGAGAGTTTAGAGACAGTGTTTCTTTGTGTAGCCTTGGCTGTCCCTGAAATGCTCTGTAGACCAGGCTGGATTCAAACTCACAGAGATCCATCTGCCTCTGCCTCCTGAGTGCTGGGATTAAAGGTGTGCACCACCACCGCCCAGCACAAACAAATCTTCTAAAAAACAGTAACAAAACAACTAGTTACTTATTAAGAATAACTTAATCACTGTAGTTAATTCTTGCATATATTACTGTAACAATAGCAACTATTCTATCCTTTCATTCCCCCGAGTATTTTTAAAACCTACATTATAGTGAAAATTAACTACTCAATCTTAATAGTTACTTAATCTTCACATCGTACAGAATTTACAGAATTTACTGATACTCTCCAGCATTTCTGTGAGAGGAGACTCGGCCTCCTGTCTGTAGACCATTCTCCAATGGTATTTTATTTCACTCAGAAACATTGTCAGGTATGGCCCAAGGATCTGGATTATTCCTTCCTTTATTCTAGCCATGATGACTTTCTCTTGTGTTCTTTCAACACTATAGAATAGCCCCACTTCAGAGGGTTTGCATTTACTTTTCTCTACTCTGCTTGGAGTGGCTTTCTGACAAATATCCACATATTAATACATTTCTTTGATCTTCTGCTCAAAGATTTCTGCCCATCTTAAATATGAAATACTTGAAAAAAAAATTGAGTTAACCATTCTTAGTAGCACTCAGTACAAAGCTTAGCCTGTAGTAGATGCTAGACAAAGGAATGCCTCAACATTAAAAATAATAACAGCCTGGTGGCGGTGGCCCACACTTTTAATCCCAGCACCCGGGAGGGAGAGGCAGGCAGGTCTCTGTGAGTTCGAGTCCAGCCTGGACTACAGAGTGAGATCCAGGATAGCCAGGACTATTACCCAGAGAAATACTGTCTCAAAAAACAAAACAAAACAAACACCACCACCACCACCACTAACAACAGATAAACATGGCCACATGCTTGTAAAATGTAGTTTTAAGTGAGTATTTGATGGGCAGAGCTGATCTGTTCATTTTAATTTGTTGAATATACATATTTATATAAAATATATGTGTGCAGGCAGAATCCTTGCAGCCAAACTTGATGACCTGATTTCAATCCCTGGAACCCAGCATATCTTTTTATCTCTGTGTTGAGGAAGACAAGGCCCCCTATACTCTGGGAAACTGATTTGGATGATCATTTCTTCATTAGTTGTCTTTGGGGTTCTCACTATCTTGCCTGGCCTGGTTTTGAATTCCTGGCTCAAACAAATCCTATGCCTCAAGCTCTACAGCTCCAGATGTGTACCACTGTAGCTGAATAGAGCTCTCCTCAGGTTTTTGGGGCAGACAGTATTTGTCTTCCTTGGCTCATGAACCAGACACTGACAGGGGTGCCTAGTAAGGATAGAAGACCCAATACATATTCTGGCCTTAACAGCTAAGATGCTGTGAGGCTAGAAGGCGTATGGCATAACCTTGCAGTCAACAGAAAAACAATATACTGAAATACATGGTCGAGGGACATCAAGCCCAACTACAAGGGACTACAAAGCCAACTATATCCACAGCTTCCCTTTCTTAAAGCTTCTATTCTGGCAGACATGTGTTATAAGAAAGTCGAAGAAAGCGTTTTTAGCTAAGTCTTCAAATAAGGTTTACTGTTTACTTGCTGTGTGCTGTTCTTTGAGTAACTTACTTTCTTCAAATTCTCAGATTTCTAAATGTATTTTTTCTTGTAAATTTTGTGTATGGGTCTGTTGTCTACATGCACATAAATGTACTGTGTATGCTTAGTGCCTTCAGAGGCCAGAAGAGTACACTGATCCTCTGAAACTAGAGTTAATGGAATCGAACCCAGGTCCTGTGCAAGAGCAACCAGTGCTCGAATCACTGACCCATCTCTTTAGCCCACAATCTATTATTCTAAATGTAACTACCTTGAAAAAAACTGAGCATAAAATTAAGGACATGGGCTCTGGAATTAGAGCATGTTACCTAGTCCTCTATCACCATATGTCATGTGACTGACTCGATTTATATAAATTAAACAATACCAGAAGCTAAATTAAATCAGTATAATGGCTTGCAAGCGACTTAACTATAATTTGTTATCCTATAAATTGCTTGAGTACAGCAAATTTTAAAAGTCTATGATAAAAAAATTTATTTTTGAATCTCTGTGAGTTCGAGGCTAGCCGGGTCTACAAAGTAAGTTCCAGGACATGCTCCAAAATCTACACAGAGAAATCCTATCTTGAAAATACAAAACCAAACCAAACCAAAACAACAACAAAAAAATCTTTAAACAAACCTTTTTTAAAAGCACTGACATTTTCTTCTAGCAATTTCTGTTTCTTTTTATCAGGGGCTGTAGTAAGCACATTAGTTTCCAGTTCTTTAATTTGTACAGTCAAATACTCTTCTTGCTCTGACAGACCCTATAAAAAATTTAGCATTAATATGGTCAATATTTTAACTTATTAAGAGTAAATATTTCTTTGAACACTGAATTTTTCAAGAGACATTTAAAAGACTAACAGGAAAATGATAGAAAACATCACCAATATAAAAATAAAAACGATCAGTAAACAAAATGTATGCCAATTCATTACAAAGATAATGAGTTAGAATCAATATTTAGACAACTTGGTATGAGGCACAAAGTGCTTTAAAACAATGAAACACAACTAATTATAATTTCAGGAACTCATCTTAAGGAAATAATCAGATGTGTATAAAGATACAACTATTAATCCGAACACTTGGGAGGCAGATCTCTACGAGTTTGAGGCCAGCCTGGTCTATAGAGCTAGTTCTTAGGGCAGCCAGAGCTACACAGAGAACACCCCTCAAAAAAAAAAAAAAAAAAAAAAAAAAAAAAAAAGATAGAAAAGGAAAAACATGAAATATGGCAGACATATCAAGTAAATTTCGATATTAAGCAAAGTAAAATTAATGACATTAAAAAGATATATATATTATTTATATACAAATACATAAAGATACATATAAATATATTGCATGCAACTAAATTATAAAAATTGAAGCTTGTGCATTGTCGTTGAACATTATAATTTAGGTATTTACTGAATGTTGCTTTAAAGTAGAAATAATTGGCTGCTGGACATAAGGACGCATGCCTTCAATCCTATCACTTGGGCAGAAAAGGCAGGCAGAACTACATAATGAGACCATTATATTGATAAAAACCAAGAGGAAAAAACCAAAACAATTGGTATGTACTACTTTTTCATAACAAAAACAAAACAGGACACTTTTCAAGGAGTGATGCTATAATTGGTAATGTAGTTGCTAAGATAGTCTTATATCTGAAGTGGAAAATAGTTATCCTTTATATTTCAAAATTGGAAGCAAACCCAAAATGCTTCTTCCTAGTCGCTGTTGAATTGAATTCTAAGTCTCAGCTAATGTTCAAACGCTAACATAAACACCATACCTGGATGCTTGCAGTGAACTTTTCTAGTGTATTTCTCATTTCTCGTTCACTATGCCTTAACTTAACGACTGCTTCTTCATGTTGTACTTTCTGTTCTTGGATTTGCATTGCTTGTTTAGAATGTCTTTCCAACTGGGATTCCATCTTATTTACCTAAAAAAAAAAAAAAAATTTTTTTTTTCCTCCAAGGGTCATTCCCCCTAAATTTCTTACATTATACATTTAACATTATGGTATACTCATAGGCATCTGTATGGACTGGCATGCTTATCACGACAGTAGTCAACCTGTGGGAGCTGGTTCTTCCAGGGACTGAACTATGTAGTTAGGCTTTGCAGAAGGGGCCTTTCTTTAGTCACTCAACCATCGTGCCTGCCCTCCAAGAGTCAGTTCAAAGTTAGCGGTAGGAAATGAAAACCACCAGGGCTGGACAGAAGGCACAGCAGTTAAGAGCACTATCTGTGGGCTAGAGTTTGATTCCTAGTCTCTATAGAGTGGCTCACAACCGCCTGTAACTCGAATTCCAGAGGACCCAATACCCTCTGTGGCCTCCTGGGACACCAGACATGAACATTGGTGCACAGACGTTAACACTCGAACATATAAACAAAAAAAGATGAGAATAAACACCAGGTAGTGGTGCACATGTGGGTTCCCAGCTACTCAGAAGGTTCAGATGAAGATTATGAGCTTGAGGCCAGCCTGGCCTAACAGCGGGAGACATGTAACCAAACAACCCAAATTCTCAATACTAAAGCTTAAGACACAGTCACCTATTATTTTAATGAAAACATAACAATCTCAAAATATAGGGGAGAAATTAATGCACATTTTAGAAAAAGAGATCCAGGCTAAGAACACATTTTGGTGGCTGAGTTCATGGCTCCCCAAAGCTAGGCAATTACCTTATCACTAATCTATATCGCTACGTCCCCAAAGGTTAAAAAAAAAGTAATTCTGTGAAAAATGATATCAATTGACTAAATTATGAAAAATCTGTATGATACTAACTAAAAAAGACATATGCACTTATTTTTATTTATTTCTAATGGGATGCTAGGGATCAAACCTAGGGCCTTGGGCATGCTAGGCCAATGCTCTACTACTGTGACACCCACCCTTCTTTAAGTATAGATTTTTTAATTAATGTGTTTTGCACTCCAGAAAGGACTTAACACAATAGCTAACATTTATATAATGTAAACATCTGTTAACTCAAAACTGGGTATGGGCCGGCGGCGGCGGCGCACACCTTTAATCCCAGCACTGGGAGGCAGGGGTAGGTGGATCTCTGTAAGTTTGAGGCCAGCCTGGTCTACAGAGCGAGTTCCAGGGCAGGTTTTAAAGCTACACAGAGAACTGTCCCGAAAAACCAAAAACTGGGTGTGGTACAGTTTACAATAGCTCAATTTTGTACTAAGCTAAAAATAAAGTGACCACGACTTTACATTCTGCTAACCTCTTCCTCAGAGATTTCCACGATAACCGACGAACCCATTCTTCCTCTCATTACTTTGCTTCCACCGCCAGTCATTGTACCTGGGGAACATGGGGGCAGTCAGTTGTCAATGTCTTTCCGAAGACCAAGAGAAGGAAGACAGATGGGTAGGCAAGCCCACTTACCTGACTGCTCTATGATCTGGCCCTGTAGAGTCACTACTCTCCACCGTCTGTCTTTTTGATAAGCTACTCTTGTAGCTTGATCCAAGTTGTCAGCCACTAAGGTATCTCGTAAAGCAAAGTAAAAAGCTTGGCGAATTTCCTCATTGTTTACTTTCACTAAATCAAATAACCGAGGAGTGTTTTCAGGAGTTTGAATTTTGGTCATTTTTTTGGCCCATACTGCCATCTAAAAGTTAAAAAATGTGTATGTAGTAAACAACCTTGTTTTCTAGGTGTTATGATACTAAATAAAACCTTACTTATGTTTCTATATAAAATTCTCAAGTATTAATTGTATTTCTATACAGTAGCAATGAGCAACTGGATAACAAAAACTCACCACTAAGTTAAAATATCAAAATGCATTAGACATCTACATTAGAGAGGAAAATCTACAACTCTCAGAAACATCAAGCACTCATAGCTCTACCACTTGGAAGGTCAAGAGAGGAGGATCGCTCCAAGTTCAATGTCAGTCTGGTCTAGATACAGACCAAGTTTCAGGTTATTCAGGGATACATAGCGAGATCTTGTTTAAACATATACACCTCTACCCAAGAAGCTAAAGAAAAATACCATTAACTGGGCCATTTGTGCTTCAAAATGAAAATACTACCCACCAAATGGTATGTTTAAATTAAAAAATATTTTAAAAGCATGTATCTGACAGGAGACTTGTATATATAATTTAAAGGGTTTTTACAATTCAATAAGACAAATCAATGAAAACAGGCAAAGATTTCAGACAGACATTTTCCCCAAGAAAGATAAACAAATGATTAATAAGCACACAAAATGTTTAACATTAGAGAAATGTAAATAAAAGCAATTCGATACCACTTTACATTCAACAAGACGTGCTGTAATAAACCAGATACACTATATGATTCAGCAATCAACCCCATCCTTAGGTATCCCATCCCACATTCACACAAAATCTTGTACATTAATCTTCACCACAGCATTATTGTTGAGGTGGCCAAAAACGTATCAACAAGCAAGAGAATGGACAAAAAAAGATGAATAGGTACATGCTACAAAACAGATGAGCCTGAAAAACTATGTAAATGCATTATGTGTAAAGGCCTCATAATATGATTCTATTCAATGGATGCCCAGAATACATCCACAGAAACAAAAGCAAATCAGTGGTTTTGCTGGGGGTGGGGAAAAGAATGTGTGGACTGATTGTTAATGCCTATGGAGCAATGGAAATTAGTCTGGAATTAGACTAACAGCCATAGATCAGCAAGTTGTGGATATAGTAAAAGTAACTTAATTCTATACTTTAAAATAGAATTATATAACACATCTCAATAAAGGTTCTATTAAGAAAACAGTGGTTACTGATGGAAATTAGAAACATACTAAAAGTAAAGAGGCACAGGTAGGCTGATCTCTGTGAGTTAAAGGCTAGCCTGCTTTACAGAGCAAGTTACAGGACAGCCTGTCTCAAACTCCCCACACTCCTCAAGAAACATACTAACAGTCTTACATCCAATGGACATCACACTAGTACTGGCATTTTTTTAGTGGAGGCATTACAAAATTTATTTTTAACCTCCAAAATTATGTACACACAAAATCTAAAATAATTTTTAAAACTTATCAGGAAGTAATTGATTAATGGTGAAGAAAAATATAAAATTCTAAAGGAAAAATATATGGCACCTCAAAGTTAAATTATAGGAAACTTATTACGAATACTTACCTTATCCAAACCTATAAAAGTGGCGACACCAATATTATGTCGTTTAAGGAAGTTTACACATTCTTGGGCTGTATCAATAGAATCAACAACAATGTAGTCTAGTGCATGGCAACAGGATGAAATAGCAATGTCATATTTTTCATCAATAGCTCCCAAGTCTCCCTAATAATGAAAAGGAACAGAAAGTTAATTTATAAATAAAGAAATAGATTAAAAAAAAAACAAACATAAAGATAAATTTTAGTACTATTCAGATTTTGAACATCCCCCCTCCCCCACGGGGTTTCTCTGTGTAGCTTTGGAGCCTGTCCTGGAACTCACTCTGTAGCCGAAGCTGGCCTCGAACTCACAGAGATCCGCCTGCCTCTGCCTCCCGAGTGCTGGGATTAAAGGTGTGTGCTACCACCGCCTGGCTGAATGTTATTCTTAAACTATTCTTTTTTTGGTTTTTGGAGACAAGGTTTCTCGGTGAATAGCCTAGGCTGTCCTAGAACTTGCTCGGTAGACCAGGCTGTCCTGGAACTTATAGTCTGCCTCTGACTGCTAGGAGTAAAGGTGTGTGCCACCAACTATTGGTTTAAGGAAGCATGAAAGGGGACTACAATGTTTCCTTCTCACCCCAACTATCTTCCCCTTTCTACAGGAGGACCAACTCAGAAGCTACTATGTGCCTTATAAGCAAGCATTCTACCACTGAGCTATATCCCAAGCCCTATAGTTTCTAATCTACCCTTTAGTGTTTATGGTTATGTGATGTGAATTGTTAATGGGAACAGGATGTAAGAATTGTTTTATTCCATGAAAGCATACAATGTAGATGAGACCTAAGAGAACGTATAAACAAAACAACCTTTTACAACCTTTTAACTTTCATATTGAAAGCTATCTAGAATTAAATAAGTAGTTATGAATCAATTTATCACTTAGCTATCTAGCAGCTTTCACTGACTGACTTGAGTTCTTCACAGCAAATTTATCAAATTTGTTTATCTTTAAGAAAATAAGGTAGAAGCCACCTAATGTCAGATATAGAAGCAACCATACTGGTTAAATTCGATTTGTCCTTCCAGATCATTCTGTTTCCTTTTGCAGAAGGCTGAGTTGGCAACCCATTAACTGGATCTTTGGGCTCAAGAACTTTAAGTAAAAGAAGTCTCAGTTATGGTTGCAGGGTAAGAGATGACAGAATTGAGATACTTATATTCTTTCAAATCATATATTGCTCTTTCCTGTTAAGGCTCAGAAAGGTAATGACCCCCACAATTGGAACTACCAGAGTTCTAAATTAGCTAGTTCACCTTCCTAAACCATAAGCAAATTGTTAAGTATAATGTTATAAAACCTAGACTATATTAAATATTTATTTTTGTCTAGAGGTTCTAGCAACTACTGTATACTCTCAACCAAAAAACCCAGGCCTCTCTAATTGGATGAGTCATCCCATTTGATTGTGTTGTGCAGCTTCAGGAAAAACACACTTGGAATGCTAAAGGAGAATATAGAATAGGCACAAGCCTATTCAGCATGATCAGCCAAACCAACCCTGGTGACTAATGGGACAACTAATCTCACAAGTATTGCCTCATATCCTAAAATTGCTTTTGTTTTTAAGATATGGTCTCACTATGTAACTCTGGCCAGCCTAGAACTCAATATGTAGACCAGGCTGGCCTTGAACTCAAGAGATCTGACTGCCTCTGCCTCCCTAGTGCTGGGATTAAAATACACACCACCACACCCAACTTCTAAATTATTATTTTTTGGAAAAAGTTTTCTTGTGTGGTGCCAGATGTCTAGCACTTGGGAGGCAGAGGTAAGAGGATCAGAAGTTCAAGGTCAACCTTAGCTACAGAGTTAGTTTAAAGCCAATCTGAGCTATATGAAATCCTGACTCAAAAATTTTCTTAGGTTAGTTTTGGACAGGGCAGTAATGTATAAAATAAATATAAACAGCCCCAAACTACATCAATAAGGACACCAAACCTACAAGACCACAGTATATTTCTGTGTCATGTCTTCCTTAAATAAAAATGAATGTTATTTAGGCATAGTAACAATATATACTTAAGAATATAATTTACAATGTCTTTTCTGAGTAAAATGTAATCTACTTTACCAATCTTCCATATATTCCTGGGATCCTGCCAGATTTTTTTTCTTGAATTATCGCATCAAGTACTTTCCCTCGACTTCGATTCGTTGCTAAGGAACTCTTTGCTTCTTCAACTTTTTGGAAAAGATCATGAACCAAACTTTTCAAGTTTATTTCTTCTTGTGTTAATTTCTGAAGTTCTTTTTCTTTCTAAAAGTGAGAAGAAAATGAAACCTATTAGCATATGATTTTAAATACACCCAATAATAGCAGAAAATTATTTGTAATGCTTCAATAATATTAAGAGAGGCCCCCAAATAGCATATGACCTAGTATGAGCTTCCATATTGTTATTTTGGCCTGGCTTTGAATATATGGAGGAGTCTTTCCTATTTTAAAAGAGGCATAAATTATTTGGGTCAACAAGAGGGAATCCAGCTCTTAAAACAGCTACAGGTGTAAAAATCCCAGTCTGGCACCACACAGGTAAGGTATGTACCAGTTTTCAAGTTGTGAAAACAAAACCAAATCTAGGAACCAGATTCCAGGTAGGACAGCCAGGCAGTATTATATGTTATGGCTTTTTGGCTAAGTAAACAAAATAAAAAGGCACAGTTCCTAAATAGAGGGGGAAAAGATAACTGGGACAGCTACCAACCAGAGGAGCCCCACAACCAAATTTAGTCTCTCCATTTCCTTTAGAAACAACCATCTTGGGGGTTGTAGAGATTGCTCAGTGGTTAAGAGCACTAGCACTGATTGGTCTTCCAGAAGACCCGGGTTCAACTCCCAGCACCCATATGGCAGCTAACAACTGTAACTCGAGTTTCAGGGGACCTGAAACTTCCCATGGCAAAACACTAATGCACATTAAAAAAAAAAAAAAGAAACATCCATCTCATCTGCTATTTTCCCCTATTACTTATTACACAGACATAAAAGCTCAAATTACAGATGAAACAATCCAAAAATAAAACAAATCAGTACAAAGAAATAGTCACTGGACGGATATAATTTAAATTACAGTTAAAATTTACACATCAGGAAACTGATGATCAAGCAGTATAAATTTACTAAAATTTAAAGATACTTATTTTGGGGGCTGGAGAGATGGCTCAGTGGTTAATATCACTGGCTGCTCTTCCAGAGGTCCTCCATTCAATGCCCAGCACCTACATGGAAGTTCATAACCATCTATAACTGTAATTTCATGGGATCAGATGCCCTCTTCGGTTGTGCAGATGTATATGCAGACAAAATACCCATATACATAAAATAGATAAATCTTAAAAAAAAAAAACCAAAAACTTATTTTTAATTATGTATACCTATGTGTGTATATATCCCTGGAGTCCAGAAAAGTATTGGAACCCCTGAACCTAGAGTCAGTAATGAACCACCCAATGTGGGTGATGGGGACTAGTCTTTTATAAGAGCAGCAAATGCCCATATCTGCTAAGCCATTGCTCCAGCTCCTCAAATAACGTTGGCATTCTTAGGTTAAACTTTAAGAAACTTAAAAAAGTCTGTATATTCATTTTCATTTATCTTTACCTAAGTTATCTGTATATGTAAATTTAAAGAAACTCTTTTTTTTTGGGGGGGGGGGGGAACAGGCTAGCTTGGAATCCAGTATGTAGGCAATACTGGCCTTGAACTGACCCTTCTGTCTTTACCTCTCAAATGCTAAGGTTATAGGTACACTAACATTCCTGGTTTGATGTGGTTGTTGGGGGATCATAACCAGGGTTTCATGCTCCCTAGGCACGTACTCTACCAACTGAGCTACATATGCAGCCTGAGAAATCTGTTTAAATTTTTCCCATGGGATTGTGGCAGTGGTAACTGTCTGCTTCTAAAGACTATAGTTAGTCTCCTTGCATTCTTTTCTTGGGGATGTATTGGGGATGGAACCCGGAGCCATATACATGCTACAGAAGCTCTCTACCAGTGACCTACACCTCTAACCCTAGTTAATTATCTATCCATTCAAACACTGAAATACTTTTTCATGCAAGACTATGTTGAGAAAAATTTCTATGTCAATCACATTAAAGCCTGATTTTAAAAACAAACAAAAACAAAAAACCCACATATAACTGAGGTTGACAATGTTTAGATGAAATACAGAAGCAAAAATTTACCTCCTTTAATTCTCGTTGAGTCTGAGGGAGCTTTGTGTTTATATCTCCAATTGCAGCTTTCCTTTCTTTGAGAGTCTCAGAAGCTGTAATTAGAGCTTCCTTTGCCTTACTTAGCTGAGACACTGCTGTATTATGCCGACTGAGATAGATATCAAGTTCTGACTGAGCGACTTCCATCTTTGAACGTGCTTCATTTACTGATTTGTTAAAACCCATAAGTTCTTTTTCTTGACTCTATTAAAATGAGTTCATTAAATATGAAATATAGTTATTTTCAAGCTTAGACAAAAATGAAAATTATACTTCTTGAGGTCACTGTAAGAAAGGAAAATCTATAAATACAACATGTATTAAGAAATAATTCGGGGGTTGGAGATTTAGCTCAATGGTAGAGCAAGGACAAGGCTTGCTTGTTCGGTCCACAGCTGGGTGGGGGAAGAATTCTTGTAAGTGGATTATATAGTCCATGTTCAGCTGTCACCATACAGTACTCAATGGTCTTTCCTAATTGATGTCATATGATCTTTGTGAAGTGGGTATTAGCATGCTCATTTCAGAAATTAAAATAAAAAGGTAATAAGAAAAGCCTTGGTCTAGATTCCATATGGTTCCTAAATTACCGGGTGTAAGAATTACTCAGAAAGTTTCCTCAATGTATTTATGTTAAAAAAAAAATCTTTGCATTATGGGAAGATTTCAATCCAATTGCATTCATAGCCTCATCATTAACAAGGATAAAAGATACATAGGGAAAAAAACCACCTCAATGTAAATTAAATAAAGAAAATATGATTGCACAGAATGCCTATAAGTCAAAGTATTGACCTCATATTTGTTACCATTACAAATTCTTCTTCATTTAACAAGTTTCTTCCAAAATGAGAAAACAGAAAAAAGAAAATAGTGTAGACTGAAGTTTTAGGTATGTTAAACTAAAAGGTTCAACAGTTGGAGATACAGTCTTGCTATGTAATGGCAGCTATCCAGGTAGCTGATGTTACAATATAGGCGTGGTCTGCACTAGGCCTAAATTTATTTTTTGAAGCTCACCTATGAATGTGATTGCAAAAACAGTCAAGTTAGGAAAAAGATACCCAAACCATCATTGACAAAGACTTTTACCTCCTTTTCTTTCTGAAGCCCTTGTGTTTCTTGTTTAAGGCTGTCCATAACTTCTTTTAACTTTTTTTCTTCTTTCTCCCGTTCTTTCTCAAGAG